CGTTGAGCGCGTCATGTTCATGTTCACATCTTTTATATGTTTTGCGCCGAGGCAGGACTGCACCTGGAGTTTACCAAAGCAACCGGAGAAAGGTCGCAGAAGGACACCACACGCCCTCCCTTGACCAATATGTGGTCACTCGCCTGAGGGCGCGCTCAATGAGTCACTGGCGCATGTTGACTATGAAAGTGGGAGTTGTGTGGGGCTAGGGGGGGCTTTTGGTGGGCTGGTGTCGAGAGAGTAAACGGTTGCCTTCATACCAAGCATGTCCAATTTTCCACCTCGAACATGTGAGCCCAAATGATAAGCAGCCCCTCCCTCATGACAGGTGGCCCGACTGACGAGCGCTTCGGGATGGCACTCCCTGCGCGCCATTTCACATGTTGACTCCGGAAGCCTAGGCTTCACCTACGCCGCGAGGAACCAGCGCACGGTGTCTCCTGCTTTTGTGAAACACCTGGTGCAACGGTTGGTGTCACGCGGCTCGGAAATTTTCAGGGCTGTGGCTCAAAACACGGTGCCCAAAATGGCCCTTGGAAAGTGGCAAAGACTGACACCTGCGTAACCCAAGCTCTGGCATTTTTGAGCCGCAGCCTTTGGGCAAAGGGCGAAAGTAGAAACCACAGAAACGCCAAAGTTCAGGCCGCGGCCACACCTTGCACTTGAAGAGCTCCATAGAGGCAATGATCCGCCACAAACCTGAGCCGTTGGTCGGCTGTCCCCGCCTGAGCTTTCTTTGGGGAAAAATTACCTCAGTGAGCCCGAAACAAGCATAACGACCTGAGAGTAGAACCCTGAGAAGGCTTCAATGGACTACAGGAACTAAACGGGTATGTCTCAAAAATTATCAAAATATGGAACCACCACAAATGGTGGCTTTCTTCTGGTTGCCCTTTGAAACAGTCTCAAAAGGTTACCCTATGTTACCCTCAAACAGGAACACGCCACAACATCCCGAACACATACAGTCCTGAGACATCTGCCAAACGCGGCGGCCCAACCCAGTTGCTCCCAGGTGCAACAAAAACAACTGCCAAATGGACTTGTTTGTCCACAAGCAGGTCGCCACGCTTGAACCGCTAGCAACACCGGATGGGCTGCTCTCAAGCGATGCTTTCACAAGCGTAGACCAAACTCCTGTTGGGGGGACCCCGGTTTTGTGTCCCTGTGAATTTATCTGTGAGGCTAAGCCCCGGGCGCAGGATCCGTTTCGAAGCGGAGGATGTCACCGCCCGCTTCCAGTCCCACCTGGAAAACGTCCAACCCCCCCGTTTCACAGCTCAAAGCAGAGCGCCGAACTAGTTCCACAACCATCTCTTAGCTTCACACATCAAATTTGTGGTCAGAACTTTTCGTCGTGGGCATGGGTTTCTAGCAAGCCTTGGAGTCCAAGAAAAACAGGGTGCTTGAGCAAGCAAAACAGCCAGTCCGGGAGTCTTCTGATCAGTTGGGTCAGTCTTGTTTGTTTGACCTATCTTCGCGGAGAATGTGCACCTCCCAATTCTCAGTAGTCTGCAAGCCCTTGTGTGAGTAATTACATGCAGCGGCTTCCTGCACCAGTCCCATCAACTGCTTCAGAGCGCCGAGGGGCCAACCATGAGGTTCACATGGCTTCGGAAACTTCAACCAGAAGAGTCGGTCGTAAATCCAACCACGTACTTATGATGTCACCCTAAGAGTCCAATAAATTCAAATATCCATCCTCTGAATCCGTATTGACTTTGGAGCAACCTGGATAACTCAGTGGGAAAGTCTCTCGAATCCGAGAGGTCGCCATCGGCTTAGGCGTGGGCAGGAAGATCTGCAGCCACTTGGCCGAGCCCTCTTCACCTAAGAGCCGAAGTAACTCACATCCCTGCAATTGAAAGTGAGGCATGAGCTAAACACTTGGTTGGACCCTCTGATGAACACAATAAATGCACTGGGATCAATGTTTGACAGGTCGAACTCCTTTCAAAGTCATAGCCACGTGGACACATTTCTTCAAGTGTTCAAGCTTGCATTCAAAGAGGGCACCAAAGGTCACTGAAGACTGAACACGCGCGTGAAGGAATGGTCGCTGCTCCCTCAGTATGCATTGTGTTGATGACTATGGAAGGCAACGGTGAAAGAGCACTGACGCATGAGCATCTCCTCACGTTCTAAGTGGGTTGGCCAAAAGGAGCTAGTGCAAACTCTATGTTTGCTTGCCACTAGCGACTTCCCAAAAATGGAGTCTTGGTTCACCCCAAATAAGTTAATTTGACCACAGCACATACCCTTTGCATCACGAGGTGATGATACCAGAAGCAGCTCGTGGCTGTCTAATATCCCGTGCCAAAATGAGCTGAGAGGCATTTAGTGTGGGCATCAAACTCCCAGAATGCGCACAACATTCCATAGACATCTATCTATATGTACGCGTATATAAGTATACATATATCTGCATGTTATGATACGCTATATTACATACACACTATGTCATATTATATCAAATCATACTATAGTATACTAGGCTACATTCTATGCAATTCTATCATAGAATCATATGCGTATTATATATATACATGCATACATCTTGTAGTATTCCATACACGTGATATGTATATAATAAATCAACATTTCGCTGTGTGTATGTATGTATGTATACATATATTGCTACCCCCCCCCCCCAGGGACCTACCTTTTGGTTGCCTCTCCAGTGCATGATTTGCCCATCTAGGACTGGGAGGAACGATCTCTCAACTAGGACCAGGACCAAATGAGACTAGAACCCAGGATCTCTCAACTGGGACTAGGACCAAACTAGGACTAGACGACCCACCTCAAATTCTTACAAACAAAATAAACTTCAAGTATAACTTCCTCTGTAATGTCCGGTATACGTTCTAATTATTGCAGTAAACTAGGGAGCAACCTAGCACTAGAACCAAGGATCTCTCATCTAGGACCAAACTAGGACTAGACCATTTAAGTCTACTTCTTATAGTATTTGGATGTCAAGTATTACAGTCTGGTGGAAAGAAAGTCATGTGTAATATTTGGTTTGAAACAGAATAACCATAAATGTTGATTGGATATTTTCTTTAGTTTATTATACTGTTCAGTTAGCAGTTGCATAGAACTTGAGCAATATATTAACTACAATTCATAAGGAAGTTCCTTTGTATTGTCCTTTGTACGTTCTATTTATTTCAGTAAGCTAGGACCATATTAGGCCTAGAACCAAGGATCTCCCAACTAGGACTAGGACCAAACTAGGACTAGACCATCTAAGAATCTAACTCTAGTTCTGAAAGTGATTGAATTTCAAGTACCATGTTCTATTGGACAGGAAATCGTTTGTACCATTTAATTTGACATAGAACAATCAACACTTAAGCTCGAATCTAAATCGAAATTCTGGCTGGAGTATGTCCTTCTTTAGCTCCATTGAATTTCAAACAGAAAATTGGGTCGAATGTGATAAGACATATTAAGTGGAATTCATAAGGAAAGAATCCAAAGGTCCAAAACTTGTGTCTTTTCACTAGTCCTAACACTACTAGGGTCACAAAACACCGTAAAACACAGTGTTGTGTAGTGTTTTTCATACTCAATTCACATCTCCACCAACGAACACTCGCTAAATGCTCGATTGAATTTGAACACGATTTAATTGGGACTCAATACGGAAATATTTGGTCAGAATCCTAATGGTAATCAAATCTGAAATTTCGAGTTTAAATAGAGTTTATTTCCCAATATGTACTTACAATTCAATTAGAGCTTTAACAGGATTTGATAAGGAAAGAACCCAAGCCTGTATTCAACATTCAATAATCAATATTCTCTAGACAAGTCTTCTTTGCAAACGCGAGTCCAGGCCCGAGTGAAACCCATTGAAACCAACTGAAATTTCAGGTCAGCCTGGGTTCAAGATTCCCTAGAAAACTTTGACCTACAATCTTGAATATGGGCCTAGATTGAAGCAGATTGAATGATAATCAGGACTTGGATGCTTGCACAACACTGTGCCAAAGTACAGCCGCGCAAAGTGCAATGTTGAATTTGGGTCTCGATTTAAACCGATTTAAGCCGATTTAAGTTAAAATCGGGCATGGATTCAAGATTCAAGAATCTAGTGTGCAGCCTGAGGCGGTCATAGCTGCTTTTTGTGTTCTCTGACCGGCAGCTGGGTGTACACACTCGTATGCAGTGCTCGTAAGGCAGATCCAAAGATGCTAGGCCAGGCCTTACCCAGCTGCAAGTGAAGCGACTCCAAAGGTTCAGCTCTGTTTCTCTTTTTTATTTTTTTGTTTATATTATTATATGTATATTATGTATATGCCCTATGTATACACACAGTGCGCGGTGCATCTTAGTGACAGTGTGCTCATGTTTTACACATGACCCATTTCCACCCTTTCTCACCTCAGAGTGCGCGGCTGGCGGCGAAGAAGGGTGCAAATGCGTGCTCTCGATACCTTCAAGGCACAGATAGTGAGGGTTGTTCCCTATTGCCGGCTTCCCTCTCGGCAACCACATCACTTTCCTTGAGCTGAGGCTTGAGCAACTTGGGGAACTCAAAATCCGAGCCACCGAAATTCTGTGGATGCCAACAAACTCAATTTGCAAGGACACGCAAGTGCCAGGTTTCTTGGCTTCCTAGTTTCAAGTCACACTACACCTCAGCAGGCCCATAGGCAAACAGTGTGCTTCGATGTCTTGTGCTCCCTGCCTGATGGTGGCAAGGTTGGCTTGTTCTATCCTCCGCTGCTGCTGTGCAATCCGGGCCTGGTGCTGTCGGATGAGCAGGGTGATTCCACGACTCAGGACCAGGTCAAGAGGCTTTGGAGCAATCAGCCAACGGGCTGCGTCCTCAATCTGCAATCAGTATCCTGTCCAATGCTTCCTGATAAGCTTGTTTTAGAAGCTTCTAAAAATGGCCATGTTGATCCCACCGCAACTCAACTCATGCTGCGCGGGTGACAACACAAATCCCCTACCTGCGACTGCTCGCGCAGTCGAGCAATCTCCTTGGATCTTCTCTCCTCCGGTGGAAGGGTTTGCCCTGAGTCGATTGACCCGTTCTGAAACGAAGCGACCCTTGTCGACCATATGTCGCCCATATTCACTTGTGAGGTGCTCGCGGTTGCATTGCTCTTGGGACTCGATACCAAGCTTGATCATTCTGAGCGAAATCTCCTCCCCCCCCCCCACAGCACTAGACCCTCTTCGTCAACTGGACAAAAATCCACTTGATTTCCCATGATGCATTGAGCTTTCGATCGACTCACTGCCTAGGTGCACGACATATGTACAAACGTAGCTCCACAAAGCGGGAATAGATCAGTGCCGGGCTCACCGCTTTTGCTCTAACCAATACACGGACGGGTGTAAAGCCACCTCCTTCAGGCTATTTGCAATCCCCTGGGCCACTGCTTTGAGCTCTTCCTTGCTTGCAAACTCCTCATGTCGCTGCCGTGGCACCATCACCTGCCCAGGAGGCAACCCCCGCAGCGGAGCATCAGAAATGTAGCTGCGCTGTGGGTCACCGCGGCCAATGATATGCACATGTGGAGCAAAGGATTCCTCGGTGGTGCCAAGCTCCATAACCTTGTCGTCCCCCATCGCATGTGAGTTGTTCCCCAGAAGCTCCAGAGCGGGGAATATGCCGAGGCGCAAAAATGCGCCTGCGACCTGCGTCGCAGCCAGCATGACCGCCTCGTAGTCGCGCTGGCTGGGCACCCGATTGAGCACCGCTGTCGGGTCCGAGCGATTTGCTAGTGTTGCGATGGTCGCGTAGCCCTCTGCGGACTTGAGAAACACAAGCACCTCTCTCACTTCTCCCACATCATCTCGCACGCCCAACACGCCTATGAACTTGGATGCTGTGGCCGGCATGGCATTGCGAGCCCAGTGGTCCTTTGGCAGTGTCTCCACCAAGTCTCTCCTGCCTCGCAGGAAGCCGGCAGGAGCAGCCCTGCCGGCCGCTTCCCGGCGAGTCGCTTCGACTTGCTGACGGCGGCGAAAGACCACCACGACCAAGCAGCCTGCAGCCGAGACGCCAGCTGCCATCAGCCACTGCTTCATCAGTGATCCCAGAGGCAAGATTATCGAGCCTCTCTGTTTGGGTTCACTATTATCTAATGGCAGGGCGCAGACAAGCTGTGATTGTAGCCATCGGAAGATTATATATGTACATGTATATATAATATGTTTCTTCGGTGAACGATAATTAATACACGAAAAACATGTGTCAAGGGGCAGCGGGAATGCGCCTGACAGTGTGGAAGATCTGAGTGCTGCGTGATCTACAAACTTTCACTTGAAACAGGACCCATTCTCCACGTTACCGACTCCGATTTCTGCAACTAGACATTCAGTGGACAGCGTGCGGTCCGAGATCTACAGCGTGCGGTCCTCCGATAGCATACGACGACTCCGGATTCGAAGATGTTCATCGCGTTCGCCCTCCAGTTCTACAAGCCTTCCCCTTCCGCCAGCCATCCTGGTGGAATGCCAATGCTACTGTTTGAGTACCCAAAACCAGCGCAATGTTTGGGAAATGCGGCATCCCAAGTCTGGAAACAACAGCAACAGCTTGAAGGGAAGACACAAACCCATGGCAAAAGGAACCGCACATGCCAGAAAACCCACCAACGAAGCGGCTGCCAAAAAAGGCACACCCGTTCGGGCGTGTCTTTCAATATAACCTTTGGTTTCGCAAAAAGCCCAAGGATAACAACAAGAACAACAGACCTCTGTTGGAGATCCCATTCAAAAGGGTGCTTCTCCTTTGGCTTCGCTTTGAACCAACCGAAGGAAGGATCTCAATAAAAACGACCATCGGCTCCTTGAAAGCGACGCCGTGCCACTGCCGTAGCGCCAGCCGCACACTCTGGTGACCCGTGGAGGAGAAAAGCGCCTCGTGCTTTGTGAAAAAACAACGGGGAGGGGACACCTGACTCATATCCCCCACCATACTGTGGAGAGACCAAATCGGCTTCGCACCGATTGAGATTGGTGGTTTTTGAACAAGTACTCGGTACGTATTCATAGGGCTTCACCCATCACTGGTGCCTGTGGATTTGGTCCATAGTATCCTCCAAGGAAAGTGCCCCATAAACAGGTGCAGCAGGAAGCCTTGCTGATTCTTTACCATTGGTTCTGGGTAGATTCCATTGCCAGAGTTTGATTGTAACTTGAAGTGAAACTGCAACTCGTGGAGCCCATTGTTTTGCTTTTTATTCCAGTGCAACAACAGCTGTTGATTCCCCTCCCAGCATCGAAGTGCACACGGTGGGCGACATACGTCCCAAGAAAACCTTCACTTACGGCATTGCATGGTGGCTCAGCCTACGCATGTCAAAGCTAGTAAGGCTAGCCATAGGGACCCATTTGGGGACAGTTCAAAGGGAAGCTAAATGAAACCAAAAAAACCATGTGAGGAAGCTCCGAGTTCCACCAAAATCCGCATCAAATCTTAGGAAGCGGAAGTGGATAACCTGATGTGGTAAGGTCAGGTAATGGGCTTGCTTCTCTGGAATGGTGGCTGTCGGGGAAAGAACACATCATCAGAACTCCAAGCTAGTGACAGGAGTAAAACGTGCTGACGGTCAATCCAGGTTGACTCCGCTACCCCCACTCTATCAACACTTGTCTAGGTGAATTAGAATAAGCCTCTAAGCCGAAAATACGGGTTTTGCCATGACACGAGCATTCACGGGTGAAATCGGGTGCAACCCAAATCTCGTTGTGAGGTTGCGATCCCAAATGGTCCCCCAATCTATGTATGCATAGATTCATGTATAATATATCCGCCGACATTGCTCGGCGTGTCGGACACCTAAGAGAGGATAGAGGATAACCCCCCCCCCTCCCGACGTCTGATACGTGGGGGGGGGGGGCCCCTCCCCCCCCCCCCAAGGACCGCGCGGCAATTTGATGACGTTCCACTAAACGTAGTCTTCGGGGACCCGGTGTCGCAAAACAGGGGTCCCAGGCTCGATTCCCCCTGCCGGCTTTTTTGCTGGCTTGGGCTTCCTGCATCCTTTTGCCGAAAATCTGGAAAAACTCTGTGTTTTTGGACATCATCTTTGCGAAAACGCTGGAAAAACAGTGTTTTTTGCGGGAAATACTGGGGAGCAAAGGGGAAGTGCAAGGATACATACATACATACATACATACATACCATACCTACATACATACATACATTACATTACACAACACACATTACATTACTTTACATACATCACATTACATACATACATACATACATTACATTACATTACATTACATTACATTACATTACATTACATTACATTACATTACATTACATTACATTGCACATTACATTACATTACATTACATTACATTACATTACATTACATTACATTACATTACATTACATTACATTACATACATTACATTACATTACATACATTACATTACATTACATTACACATTACATTACATTACATTACATTACATTACATTACATTACATTACATACATACATTACATTACATTACATTACATTACATTACATTACATACATACATACATTACATATACATACATACATTACATACATACATACATACATACATACATACATACATACATACATACATACATACATACATTACATACATACATACATACATACATACATACATACATACATACATTACATACATACATACATACATACATTTACATACATACATATACATACATACATACATACATACATACATACATACATACATACATACATACATACATACATACATACATACATACATACATACATACATACATACATACATACATACATACATACATACATACATACATACATACATACATACATACATACATACATACATACATACATACATACATACATACATACATACATACATACATACATACATACATACATACATACATACATACATACATACATACATACATACATACATACATACATACATACATACATTACATACATACATACATACATACATACATACATACATACATACATACATACATACATACATACATACATACATACATACATACATACATACATACATACATACATACATACATACATACATACATACATACATACATACATACATACATACATACATACATACATACATACATACATACATACATACATACATACATACATACATACATACATACATACATTACATACATACATACATACATACATACATACATACATACATACATACATACATACATACATACATACATACATACATACATACATACATACATACATACATACATACATACATACATACATACATACATACATACATACATACATACATACATACATTACATACATACATACATACATACATACATACATACATTACATTACATTACATTACATTACATACATACATACATTACATACATACATACATACATACATACATACATACATACATACATACATACATACATACATACATACATACATACATACATACATACATACATACATACATACATACATACATACATACATACATACATACATACATACATACATACATACATACATACATACATACATACATACATACATACATACATACATACATACATACATACATACATACATACATACATACATACATACATACATACATACATACATACATACATACATACATACATACATACATACATACATACATACATACATACATTACATACATACATACATACATACATACATACATACATACATACATACATACATACATACATACATACATACATACATACATACATTACATACATACATACATACATACATACATACATACATACATACATACATACATACATACATACATACATACATACATACATACATACATACATTACATACATACATACATACATACATACATACATACATACATACATACATACATACATACATACATACATACATACATACATACATACATACATACATACATTACATACATACATACATACATACATACATACATTACATACATACATACATACATTACATACATACATTACATACATACATACATACATACATACATACATACATACATACATACATACATACATACATACATACATACATACATACATACATACATACATACATACATACATACATACATACATACACATACATACGTACGTACATACATACATACATACATACATACATACATACATACATACATACATACATACATACATACATACATTACATACATACATACATACATACATACATACATACATACATACATACATACATACATACATACATACATACATACATTACATACATACATACATACATACATACATACATACATACATACATACATACATACATACATACATACATACATACATACATACATACATACATACATACATACATACATACATACATACATACATACATACATACATACATACATACATACATACATACATACATACATACATACATACATACATACATACATACATACATACATACATTACATTACATTACATTACATTACATTACATTACATTACATTACATTACATTACATTACATTACATTACATTACATTACATTACATTACATTACATACATACATACATACATACATACATACATACATACATACATACATACATTACATTACATACATACATACATACATACATACATACATACATACATACATACATACATTACATACATACATATACATACATACATACATACATACATACATACATACATACATACATACATACATACATACATACATACATACATACATACATACATACATACATACATACATACATACATACATACATACATACATACATACATACATACATACATACATACATACATACATACATACATACATACATACATACATACATACATACATACATACATACATACATTACATACATACATACATACATACATACATACATACATACATACATACATACATACATACATACATACATACATACATACATACATACATACATACATACATACATACATACATACATACATACATACATACATACATACATACATACATACATTACATACATACATACATACATACATACATACATACATACATACATACATACACATACATACATACATACATACATACATACATACATACATACATTACATACATACATACATACATACATACATACATACATACATACATACATACATACATACATACATACATACATACATACATACATACATACATACATACATACATACATACATACATACATACATACATACATACATACATACATACATACATACATACATACATACATACATACATACATACATACATACATACATACATACATACATACATACATACATACATACATACATACATACATACATACATACATACATACATACATACATACATACATACATACATACATACATACATACATACATACATACATACATACATACATACATACATACATACATACATACATACATACATACATACACATACATACATACATACATACATACATACATACATACATACATACATACATACATATACATACATACATACATACATACATACATACATACATACATACATACATACATACATACATACATACATACATACATACATACATACATACATACATACATACATACATACATACATACATACATACATACATATACATACATACATACATACATACATACATACATACATACATACATACGAGAGAGGGAGATTGGGGAGAGAGTGGCTTGGGGGGATGGGGAGGATGGGGAGCGGAGGGAGGGAGAGAGGACGACAGAACACACCAGGGAGACAAGGGAGAGAGGAAGAAGGAGAAAAGGGAGAGGACAATGTCGGCGGACTGAGCCGGAGGCTCTAAAGTATATATATATATATATATTATTGTTAAACATTTATTAAAAGGGAAGGTCATGTACATCCGATTCGCAAAAAATGGTCTTTCTGATTCAGGCCTAACCTCTATGTGTGTGTGTGATACTGGCTTGACTGATTTCTGAGTGCCAGGATGTCACCCCAGGTCCCTGGCACCTGGTAGTTTCGACACCGGATTCGTCAAGGACTCAGGTGGGTGCTTTCGTTTCCTCCAAAAGTGATATCCGGAGTTCCGGTCAACTGGGACACCCGGCAATCAACCCAACAAGAAAGTCAAGCCTGGGCTCCCATCAATTAAAACGGACAGCGTGTTGACACCATTCTTAACTCATGCTAAACCATCCCAAAAGCCCTCATGGAGCTTTGTGGCTCTGTTCCTTAAAATTGGACCCATTTCGCACGGTTGCCCAGGCCTCCGCAGCTTTCGCCTGCTTGTCTCGGCACCTTTCCCGGTACGCATCCGCCTGGTCCGAATATGGAGTTCCGCAACATGGGCATCTGTCACATTGGCGGACCCAAGAAAGGGTGGGGTTCGTTTCGGTTTCTGTCTAAACCAACCCCAAAACGGGTACCTCAACAAAATTCCGCACCAGTTGGGATGACTTATGCAGGACTTTGTCCATCCACAGCAGCGCAAGTAGACAACAAGGACCCTGTAAGCTATCGCTATTTGTGGTTGGTAGGAACAAACACCTCAACAAGAAAGCACGCCAGGCCCCAGTTGGGATTGTTTGCTTATCGTGGTCGTGGGGGTTCATCCATCCCTAACTGGTGCAAATGTTTGTTCATCCAGGGTACGGTGGATTCCCGTAAGCCTCGCAAGTGCACCATTTGGGGGGGGGGTCCACCGTCTGGGTGCACGGGCCTATACAAAAACAAACGTTGCTTTGCAATTGGCTTTCCTTTGAACACCATCCAAAAGGGAGTCCCTGAGTTTGGGAATCATACATATTTGGGCACAGTTCCTGTTCTGAGGCTCAGTAGGAAGGGAAACCGAAGCCCTGTTTTGGGGATCCTCCGTTTGGAGACAAAGCCTTGCGCCTGTGGGTGTGTATGGTTCGAAACACTTAAAGATGGTTGAGAAAGGACAAAACAAGCCATAGCATTTCAGATGACCAAAGAGTCCTCCCAGGGGCACCCAGCCTCAAAATTGCCACCAATGTGATGATGTTTCAATCAGCAAACATCTGATCCAAGCCCCGACATCCGGCTGGCTTCAGGGGCAAGTCATGTGTTAAGTGTACTTTCTCAAGTAGTGAACATGCAGCTGGGACAGTCGTCCATCTTTCAACAGGGGTGTACTCAAAGCGGTATAGGGGCCCCACTGAGGCCTTTAACCCAAAACCAACCATGAAAAGCCCTACACTTGGGCGCACAACCTAAACCAGAATCCCTAAGTCAAGAACGCGTAGTACCTACTCCCAACGAAAACTCTAACACAAGCTGCAGGGAATCTTTGTGGGCGACACCTCTGTCAACACATTCGGCAAGATGTGAACGAAGGCTGTTGTGAAAGAAAGTTCTTGCCACGTCCTGAAACCTGAAGCTTGGTCTGATCCAAGACGAGGCAAGTGGCCCAGCGAGCAACCAGCAATCCATTTGCAACGTCTTCAGACCGGAAGAAAGCAATGGCTCCTTCCCACTCTCTCTTCCCTAATTTGGGTTGTGCCTGTGATCGCCGCTGCATCTCCTAGCTGGACAAAGGTTCTGAAGTCTAAATTGGCCCATCCTGCTACATCCACTCAAGGCCAACAGCCACGTAGCCGAAAGCCAAGTCTTTTCTCATGGCTGGGACTGCCACTTGTCCTTTCCAAGAAGCCTTGGCCAGACTGGTGGTACCTTGCCATTTGCAAGGCTCAAAGTCAGGGCTGCAAGGCAGAACAGGGATCCGGCATGCCTCAGGTCATGTGACTTCCCACGTGTCCCACTCGCTCCTGCCACTGCCGCTTTCGCTCCACTTGGAGTTTCAGCATGCCTCAGGTGGAAGGCCATGACACTTTTATTGTGTTGGTGGGTTCTGAAGAACCCACAAAAGGACCGAAGGCTTTGGACATTAGAGTTTGAGAAAAAAACACATCAAAGGGACCACCATGCACAACACATGCCACTGATAGATCAAATAGCAAGTGATTCACAGCTGTGTGCAAAGACTAGCTGACTATCTCATGCCAGGCCGATCTTCTCCCAGGTTCCGCCCAAATCATGTTTCAGCCAGTCCCAATGAAACGGAGGTGCACATGTTGCTGGGAAATCAGCAGAACATAATATGTGTCATAGTTGTCGCTTTGGGAAAACAAATGGCATTGATTCTGGAACAGAACCAGGGCCGTCAGTTTTCTACCGAGTCTACCGTGTCTTGTTTGAGGGAACCCAGTTTGGGGGCTTGCTTACAGGGACACCAAAAAGGAAACTACCTAGAGTCTCCATGACCCTTAAAAAATGGGTCTATGACCCCTTAATTTTGGGTAATGACCCCATTGTTTGAGGGTCATGGAGACTCCAGGCACCTGCTAGAGGGTATCGCTTTGAGACAAACCCAGCTATGATTTCCTAGGGGGTTCACCTCACAGGACTCCGAGCTCTGCGCCCACCCGCCACGCCAGCAGCGACCTGCGAAAGAGCCTCAGCTGCAGGTAGGCCACCCAGGCGCCCGCGACCTGGAGCAAACGCGGTGGCCCGTGGGGTAGGTTTCAAGGGAAAACCACAGGGACACAGAGAAACCAGAGGAAGGCAAAGGGAAATCATATTCAAGCCAGCAGGAAAACCAAATGGAAACCCTTTTGAAGACTTCCCCACTTGGAGACAAAGTCAAATGGACAGACTGCTCCTTGACCTCGATAAGAACAAGGATCTAACAATGAGCAGCTATGGTGAAGTCATGCGGAAAGTCCAGCAGGTGCCTTTCTGTGCATCACCCTGTCTCAGAACAACCTGGTGAAATCAGGTCACTTTTTGCCTATAGCTGACCTGAGGATGGGCACAAAGTCACCTGCATCCCATGCGGACTAGCCTCAGACTTCTGAAGCGGCCAGGCAAGCAGGTGAGGCTGCGGGTTTTCCTTTGCCATGACTTGGCGATGAGTCATTCTCAAAGTACGCATGAAACCCAAGCCACAAAGCTTATTTTGGTAGGCAAGGCCTGAAGCGGGCCCAATGCCCGGAGGCTAGGAATGGTTGCACTGTTCACAAAAAAAAGCTGCAGCTTCAAGAAACACAAAACGAGCCTGGGCAACAAAACATGCTTCGCCCACCAGACAATGTTGCGAAATCAGGAATGCGCGAAGACATTGGTTCATCTCCCCAGAGAAAGAACCCTCAAAGCCGATAGTTTTAGAGTAATTTTAAAGGAATCTCCTTCGGGTGAACCCCTTTGGGTCTGCTCCCCGAATCCCGGAATCCCGATGCGCGAGCCTCCTGGGCGGTTCGTCGGGCCCGTCCCACGCCGTGCTGCTGTTCCACCTCGGAGCGAAACAGCTGGAGGGGATTGGAAAGTGGAGGGACCCCGGATGAATACTCCTTGATTCATGGCATGGCAAGGATTCCCTATGAAATCGCATCCCAAGAATCAACCCGGATGAGCGCTTAATCTTCCCATCTCGCAGCACTCAAATGATAGATTTCAATGATACGAGTAGTTGGCACTGTTGAACAAGCACATCTACAAATCACATCCGAAGACTCAGCACAAATGATGGCTACGCAGGACTCGATGCTATCGTCGCTGCTGCAGACTTGCGAAGCAGCACTATTTACCGCCTGTCGCGTGCATATCCGATTATCCTGATGTACACAAAAGGCCTTGCGCCGGGGCCGTAAGCGTGGCCGAATTAACCTGGCGATCGACAAAGCCTTCGGGAAAGAAACCCGTTCCATTTTATGGTTTTGGAATTGCAGTAGAAGACAAATCCAATGGAACCTGTTAAGACTTCGCCTATCTACCCTTCCAGGATCTTTGGAGTAACTGTGGCATGTACTGGAGTACCTCGGAGTTGTCCAGGGTCTGGGTGCCTTCGTTGGCTTTCATGATCTTTTGCGGGGAAACAGACCTCACTTGTTCTTTCACTGTCATGTGATCTGGCTGGGACCCTGCCAACTATTTCCATCGTTGCTCACCGCAATTTCAGAGGTTCACCAGGTCACACCCACACACGTAGGGAAGCATAAGCCCAAATGCGGCACAAAACCGGAGGAACCACACGTGCGACAGCCCGCATCGACTAAATGATCACCATCTCTCCGCCTTGCATAGCACATGCTTGAAAATGTGTCTGACCAGCAAAGGGCGTGAGTCAGGTACGTGCTGACATGGGAATCTGGCAAGCAACCGATTCGGTGGCATGCAAGCCTTGTGGCATCCCGAGACTCAGCGCCACACAAACCAATCCTGGCCGGGAAAATCACACGAACGAAGCATCACGCCTGGACCCTGGTGGCTCTGAAGAACTCTTCCAACTCAAATAAGTGTGTTTTGGGTTGGGCGTCAGTACTTGTCTTTGCCTATCAAGGGCAAGAAGACTGCACCAAGCTCTCAGATTTGATCAAATGGACGTTTTGGGGCAAAGATCCAGTTCATAAGTCATTCCTCAGAACATGCGACCTTGTCAAGAACGTGCCTGGATAACTCCAGGCAGCATGTTCCCTCGTTGCCCTGTAATAGTTTTACAAAACAGTTTGTGAGCCAACACACGAAAAGGGAGTCAAATTCCCCTGGCACGAAGTAGTAGAAAATCCACAGGCAAGTTTGCCAAATAAAGAGTTGCTGCGCGTCTCCGGTTGCTTGCGAGATTCTGACGAACCTTTGTCGAAATGACAGAAATCAGCAAATGGAACCCGTGACCCGAATTACTTCTGACTGAACCTTGAATCCAGAAAGGGCACCTTCTACTGGCTTTGTGGGTTCAACGTTACATGAAAGTCCATGAGGACAGCCTTCCAATTGGGGCTCTTTTTGAAGCCATGGTTTGCGGTGGGAGGGTGCCCCCCTGCAAAACATGGAACATCATGGAACCCCACCAAAAACCACGCCCAAAAAAAACGGTCTTTTTTGGGGGGGGAGTCTTTGGGAATGCCCCTGATTCGGGTCGAAATTTGCAGCAAGTCGGGAGAGGCTTGCAGCTGCGCCTCCATGGACTGCCTCTCCGCCGCACTCCGCGATGCCGAAGCTTGGCACACCTTCCGCGATCGAAATCCCGCGCGTTCGAATGGCCAATGGGTCAACCCCAAAGCACTGGCGACGAAACGGTACCTGGTACGATCTGTTGCCTCTGTAGTAACACGCAAGTGTGAACAAGTAAACCCCTCTGTCACCTCTTCACAATCGCCAAAGCCGCAAAGGAGCTTGTAGGATTTGGGAGTCTTTGTCCGAAAAATGTGTACCACCGCATCTACCCGACCCCTCCCTACCCCCTGCACGTCCGGTGCCTGCAGCTGTTGGAAAACACTTTCCTGATCGCAGCGAGTCAATGCCAGTCTGGACGTTTGCATGGTG